AGACTCAAAGGGGCAGCCCATCCTCCAGGCGCCGGCAGAGAGAGTCAAATCGTCAAGGAGCGTTTCATACAAGGAAGATGACACAGGCAGAACGGCGAGCTGAATGCACGGACGTCATTGGTAGTGGCGACGTCACATGTTGCAGGGTGTGCTGGACATCTTGATAGATTGAGGTCTCCAGGCAGCACCCCCCAGGAGAAATAGGGGAAATAAATGCAATTAGTAACACATCTAGTTTTGCAGTAGTAGAGATACACTGTAGTAAATATATATTGAAACTGTATACAGTAACTGTTTAATTTATTTCCGCCTCCTGGATTAATAACCAAGTAGGATTTTTTCGGAATTCAGGTTTTATATTGGCTGAAGTTCAAATTGCCCGTTGGTGTGTGTGGGTGTGTGAATGGTTTGTGTGTGTGCCCTGTGATGGGTTGGCGCCTCGTCCTGGTTTGTTTCCTGCCTTGCACCCATAGCCTCCAGGATCGGCACCAGATCCCCGTGACCCTGAACAGGATTGGCGGTTTCAGGATATGGATGGATGGATGGATATTGGCTGAAGTTAGTAATCCTTTAGTTAGTAACCATCCTTTGTGTGAAAAACAACCAAGATCCAGAATTTCACAGAATGTTCTAGTTTGTCTTAATACTGGACAAACCACTCAGAAATTCTTTTTGAGTTCTGGACACCGGAAGAAGAATTTCTGGAAATTCTGGGTGTGGAACATGGCTCTTTTGGTTCGGACTCGGTGCCCGTGAGTAGAAGGCCGTTGGTTCAGATCTCCTGGCCGGCAGAGTGATGTCATCACTGAACCCCTTGAGCAAGTCCCTAAATGCCAATCACTGCAGAGGCGCTGAATACTGGCAAACCATTGCTGTTACCCCCAAACTTTCTCTCACCTGTGTATGTGTCTGTGAGTTTCATGGAGAGCAATATGGTGGAGGAGAAAAGACAATTTCCTCTTGGGGATGAATGAAGTATCGAAAATCATAAAAACAGCTGTAAGGAACATCCAAAATCTTGGGATTGCATCACAAATGCAGTAATAGAAGGGCAGCAATGTTGTCTGGTCCGGCGGCCTTCTGTCGTTTGATTCTGAACATAGTTCTCATATCAGTCATGGTCAGGCGGGGTACCTGGTCATTGGGGGGAGGGGTGATCTTCCTTGTTGCCATGTCATTCTGTGCTTCAAACCGTGCATAGATGTGATTCAGCACATCTGGAAGAGAGGTCTCACTGTCACAGGCAGGTGGAGATGTCCTGTAGTGGGTGATGGCCCAGATACCCTGCCACATGTGCCGTACGTCCCCAGTGTTTTGGAAGTGGCTGTGGATTCTCTCAGCATTTGCAGTATTTGTCGCTCTGATGGCCCAGGATAGGTTCATGTAGTACCCTTTTCTATTAAAAGGGTACACATAGGAACTGCTTATACCATTGTATGGGCACCTTTTAGGGCACTACATCACATATCCTCCACTAGAAGAGCTCTCATTAATACACTTCATTGTATTTTTTTGCTCTGTAAGGCACCATCTCTCGTGAAGGGCGCATCCTAGATGGTGCTAAATCATGCGATGGCCAGCTAATAGTGGCGTGTTCACCATTCCTTAGGGAAACTTAGTGACGTTTTTTCAGCCATGGGGGCACTAGGGTGGTGACTGCCCCCCCATTCCCCCTCTGAGTCCACCAGTGGCCTGTGCTGCTCGCTTGTCTTAACATATTTTCATTTTCCAGGCTGAACAGCTGTAATCTCACAGAGACATGCTGTGACACGTTGGCTTTAACTCTCAGATCAAACTCCTCACCCCTGAGAGAGCTGGACCTGAGTAACAATGA